CCCCAAAACCCCAAAACCCCAAAACCCCAAAACCCCATTCCACTCATTTTTAATTGCTTAATTATATTTAAATTATTTTCTTCCGTAAGACCTCTTTTGAGACCTTCATGAAGACTTTCGAGGTGTGCCAGTATTTCTGTCTATTCTCTGTTCATCTGGCGCTCTAGGGTCCTATATATTAAGTGAGGTTACTTTACTCATTTTCGTTGATTCTTCTTGATGTTCTTACTTCCAATCTCAGAAGTCCTTGCTCTGCAGTGAATACTTTGCTTTGCAATACCTCTTTGCAGCCCCTTTATCATCTTGAGAATAGAGCTTGTTGTGTTAACGTCAAGATTTGGATGTTTTACATCAGGCAAATTTTTATTAACAATATTCCAATTGTTAAATGCTTTTAAGTTGTTTTTATTGATTTGGTTTCTCTCTTCTGGAGATCTATAACATATGGATAAAGCATTTAATTTTCCCAAATTTTGCTAATGTTTTATGAGACCTTACTTATTACGAGGTTGTTTTACCATCTTCGAGGTGACTTTAACTTTAGGTTTCCTATCTGTTGACTTTGAGTTATTTCGTCTAGCCTGGTTCTTTAATTCTTGAAGGGCTTTCTTATAATCCACCCTAATTTTATTACTTAGAATTAGCATTAGTCTTGGAAACTGCAGGGTAAAATTCTAAACTATTTTCTTTATTCTTCTTGACCTGCATGGGAGCATATCTCTTCTTTAGGTGACCCTGAGATTTCTGGATTGTTTTCTTGTTTCTTCTTTTGGAGGAAGGACTAATTATATGATTATCTAGGAAGACTTTTGTGTGAGTACGATTCATTTTTGTCAAATTTTGATTACTAGAAGAGTGCCTAGGCTGGGCTTTACTTCTCTGAGTTAGCTGCTTAGATTTTACTCGAGTAAGAGTGTTGGTAAATTCTCTCATGCTGTTCTGTTTTAAGCGTTTGAGACTCCTTTGCTCATTAACTTTTCTCCCATCATGAGTTTTGTATTCCTGAGTAGGTTTAGGTTTTTGGAACATTGAATAGTTATCAAACTCCATTGCCTGATAAGATGTATTTTGTTCGATCTTATCAAGCAGTTGGCTCCTGTTCATTTTTATGATTTGATATGTGTTAGTCATATCTAAATTTTTCTTTGATTTTCGTTTTGAGCTATTTCCTTTACTTGAAAAATTGAACTTCTGCAGGTCTTCCTTTGCTAAAATAATTATAAATTAGAGGATACCATCTGAAATAAATGAAATATTATTTTAAGGCTGACCCCTTCATATTTGAGCGGTTGCCAGATCCTCAGCCTTTTCCTTTCTTTTTAGTAATTAGAGGATTCATTGGGTTTTTAATTTGTGTTATATTTCATTTAGGTAACAAAAATAACCCTTTTGAGCTTATGTGTTTGAGTTAGAATTATAATTCCTGCCCATAAATTTTTCATGAATATTCCTCATCCCGCTCTTGGAGTTTGGCAACTTTGAGCGAGATTTGAACCTTCATGATGAATCTCTGTCAGAAAATACAGTATCGTTCTCTTGATATGCTATATGTAAAATAGAACTAGAATAACACATTAAACTCAATTCGAACAATCATGCTAAATAGAAAGCGAAAAGCAAGTCTTCAGGAAAAGGTTGCTATTTAAATATGAATAAACACTGTACCTTCAGCAGAGAAAGTACTGTTTGGGTCAATCCTTTTGTTTTTAGACCTAGATTTGGAGCTGCAGAGATTATTAACTTTCCTGACTACTCAAGCAGAAGACTCTGAAATAAAAGTGTCATCTACAGGCTTATTAAATGGATTGTTTGACTTTAAAAGCACCGGTGGTTTATTCTTTTCTAGCTGACTTAGAATAGAGCTACTTGATTTTATTACTTGGCTAAGGTTTTTCTTATTCTGAGCAATTATGTATTTCTTAATCTTTCTAGAGTTAGTGTTCTGGTGGGTTTTCCTATTATGAGTTGCATAACGAGGATCATAAATGTTCTGATACTTCCTCTTATCGTTAATTGATTTATAATTTTGTCTACTATCACGGTATGCATCTTTATCTTCATAGCCAAGATTCGTATGCAAAGGGTTAGCCTTTAAGGCAGTTTCGATAGAGGCTTTATTTGGGCAAAAGTAGTTTATTTTAGATAATTTTGAAGAATTTTCTTGAACTTTATTTATCTTATTTTACATATTTGCTAATTTTCTGAGGGACTGAATCAAAAGAAGAGGTGTGATCTAGTTCATCATTTATTTGATCATTGGATGCAACAGGCTTATTGATAAATTTATATATCTTGCTTTTGCTAAAATCATGTGTTTTCGAAACTCCAAGATTCGAAAGTTTGATCTTTCCATACTGGGGGTTAGGATCTTCAATTTTTCGCTGAAATTTAAAATGCTTTATTTTTGAATTTTTAAATTTTGATTCGATTTCTTTACTTGAATTCATTTAATTCTATTTCGACTCTATCGTTCTTATATCTCATTTTGTAAGCTTCTCTTTTGGATAATGTGCCTTGCTCTCCATTCTTTGATCTTGAATAAGCCCATCCAATCATTGACAAACTTGATTGCTGGCTTAGCTGGGATACACAACTATTCGATCGGCTATTTTTGTAAAAATTGGATCAAAAAGTTACCTAATCTTAACTTTTGAATCAATATTTTCAATTCAATCCTTGTTTTCTTTGTCAAAAGATAGTCTGCTTTCAGGGTGAATTAAATTAGAAAAGTCTCCCTCTCATTTCTTTACTTTTTCAGTTGGCTTTGTTGGTCTAAACTAAAGCTATCATACTTTAAGTTAAAGCATTTGCAAGAAAATTAATATCTTTGGTAGTTGCTAAATTCAAAATTCTAAATAATTTCGAATCCAATACTATTCTGCCAGAAATAAATTGATCGAGAGGCGAAGATATTCATATTCTAATGCATCAAGAATTGTATTCAAAAATACCAATCTAAGAAATAAAAATAAGGACCCTATTAATAAAATTTCGAGCCAAAAAAGACTCTAAACAATCAAAAGATAGAAATTAGACCCAAAATCTCTTGAATATAAACAGCTTAAAAGACAGATAGAGTCAGACGATCTAGTAATCCTTGCTGAAAGATTACTTATCTCACTATTAATAAGGCCAAAAACTCCTTGAGGGTTGAAATTTGCAAAAAATATTTCCAGATATGCATAGGTCCAGACATCTAGGCTTAAATCAATAGATAAGTCTTCCTTTATGTCATCAGTACCTATACCTTACCGTCAGGTTATTTTTCTGAAGTTTTGAAGTGAAATTAAAAACTTCTTGGCCATGTTTTTAGATGGCTTTGTCATTTCGCCCTGTATCATTTGTTTTAAATTAATAATTATTTAATGGCTATTATTCTTAAAATATTTATACTGAGAATGGGGTTTTGGGGTTTTGGGGTTTTGGGGTTTTGGGGTTTTGGGG